CGTCACAATATGTGGGCGGTGGGCGGAACCGAGATCTCCAAGACGACGTCTTCCTTTCATACGCATTCTCGCGTTACGGAATGAAGACCCAAAACACCGAAGTCACCGGCCTCGAAGTGAAAGTGGCAATCATGCTTTATAATGATGTTATTGCTGAAGTGTGACGAAATGCGCGTTATAACGGTATTCAGCACACATTCACACAACGTGTTTGAGTGATTAACAATAACACTGCAAAATTGTTATAACTGATATTGTAATAATTGTTTAATGTTATTCGCTTCAAGTTATTCCCTTTAACACATTTTCATTGCATTCCATCTCACATAACTAGGATGAACCTACAGGCTCTTCCAAAATATCGGATTAAACGCCCGGGGTGTAAGCCCCACCCAAAATGAAGATGGTCGTAATGTATAAACTTTTGGGGACTATCAGTTGATTTTGCGTGAAATGAAAAGTGAATAGATTTCAAAATTAATTAAAAAAATACTGTAAACAAATTATTTCAAGTCCTTTCTCATGAAGCTTATATGAATTAATATTAAAAGTGCGTATCTGTATTTGACGAAATTTCACGTAAAAAGAACTCCTATTCATTGTTGTTCATATGCGAAATGTTTCTTCGTCGAACTGCCACGAAAGAAAAGTTCAGTTTCTGTACAAATGCATATGCAAAATGTAATTAAAACAGGAATTCTAAATTAAAACAATATTAATACAAATTATAACGGAAATTGTAATACAAAAAGGAAGAATTTCTTGACAAACATTTGTTCTCTTCGCATACTGATGGGATGAACAACATGAGATTCCAAGAGTATAATTGACACATCCTACAACGCAGACATGCCAACATTATTGCCACCCATGAGGCTCGGTGGGAGGGATCAATAAAATGTCCAGTTCGCACGGTTGACTGTCACACGAGACGGTGAATGCTACCCTGTAACTTAGACTGAGATATGTTCTTGCGGGGTTTAATAAGTACGTTTGTAATTTTAATACGTATTCTTGCTTCTATTCTGGCAGCGTAATTTTGTACGGTGCAGATGAATACGTTGATTGAATAGATATGTACATAATGTTAAACAAGTATGCATGATATGTGAATGTAAGAAAAAAATCTAACCCATACAAAAAGAAAGCATTTCTCAATATTAAGAGAAATAATCTTATTATCGGAAAAGTTAGGCATGAAAAAGTGCACGCATTTTAAACTCTGTAATTAGATTAAGTTAATTTTATTTGTTAATACACTCCCCCGGTAGCTGCCGAAGCCTTAAGGCAAAATAAGTTAACAGAAGCGTAAAATAAATTTCCGCCTTCACAGGGTTACTGTGGAGGGGCGAGAAAGAAAGAAAGAAAAGGTAGAGAACGTTGTCTCTCTGCTCCAAGCGCACTTGGAATCGCTATTCCTCACATGGCACGCTCGGCTTGTGATCCATCTCGATGTAGAGTTGAGATGCTGTGTCACGACGAAAGGTGCAGTTGTCGTTCTAAGGGCGGGATGGTTCCATTCGACACCGGCGCCTTACATCTGCTCCCCCTGCGCCCCCCCCCCTCCCGGCCACGCGGGGTGAAGGCTGCGCGGCGCACGAGCGCTGCCCATCCCCCCCTCCTTTCGGTCCACCAAAGGCTGAATGCAGGAAGGCGGCGCGGCGCGGGCACGCGCTTCAATAGGGCCACGAGCGCCCACCGCGCTTCAAAGCAGGATGACGCGGCGCCCGCCTCGGCGCCTTCCCGGCACGCGTGGACGAGGATCACGCGCAGCCACCCCCCCCCCCTCCCACCACACTCCCAAACCCTCACTCTGCGACCCACCGGCTTAGGTGGCCCACGGCGTCAATTGAAACTTTCATTTCAGAAACCCGTCAAACCCCAACATCCAGAACACGCATTAGCGACGGATTACTGTTCCAAGAGGATAGACACATCATTTAGTGCATATGAAAAGTATTAATTTATCAACTGGTTTAATAAATAAAAAGTATTTTGAAATCTGAAAAATTGGGAGACTTTTTTTTTTCAGTTTTCTCGAAATGAAAAAGTAGGTGTTTGACGGGTTTCTAAAATACACGATTCAGTTGATGTCACTGCGGGACCTCAATGACTTGGAGGACCTTATTTGTGACACTTGCACGTTAGCTAGGTCGAATTCAGTCGCTGCCTAGAGGAGAATTCTAGCTACTCTGATTGGTAGATTTCGCTGGTTTCTCTGATCAACACCAGGCGAATGCGGAGCTGTATCCACGGGCCACGGATGGTACGCGAACTTTCCTTCCTCTTCCGTGTCTTTTCCTCACCCCTTACTTACACACTCTTTCCACTCACATGAACACACGCTCTATCACTACTACCCATGCCGGAAGATCAGTCGTAAGCTTAGAGCTTGTCCCGGCTGGGGCGGTGCTCCGCTGGTGAGGGATACCTGTTTGGGGAAAACCCCGCTAGCCGACTATAAGTCAGCGCCGAATCTCGCCATTCAGCATATAGCATTCGGATATAGCACGCATTACACTTATGAAACTAATGGTCTTAGCAGTTGACGCTCTAGGAATTAATCAATGAAAACTTGGCCAAGCCTCGGAACTTTCTTATTGGGTTCAAACCTCCCAATCCCACCAGTCATGCAGGCCTACACCTTATCGCCCACCCGCTCTCACTACTGTCTGTAAATCCCTGCCTCATCTCCCGCCGTCGTCCATACCACTTGGTCGGCCTACGCTTTGTCGTCGACACGACCCCGCTGTCTCGGCCCCGTCCTCTCTTTACACGATCACTCCGCCACAGCCCTCTCTTCTCTCGTCCTCCCTTTTTCTCGTTCATTCTCGTGTCAACCTCCCTTGCCCCCGACTTCTCTTCGCCCCTCTCGCTACCCTCCCTCACCACGACCTCTCGCGTCCACGCCTTTTCTCGTCGCCACCCTTTCTCCCATTTCGGCTCCCCCTGCCTATTTCGGCTCCACTCATTCGTTCTCACTCTCCCTTCTCTGTTAAGTCCAAGCGCAACGGTCACTCCACGCGCTCCTACTTACCGTCTTACCCCATCCCTCGTTCTCGCCCACTCTTCTCCTCTCATCTGTGCTTCTCACACACTCTACGCCCAGCTCCACGCACTTGGTGTTCCTCAACGTATCCCTCACCCTTCCTGTGCTCTCTCTTTTCCCCTCAGCGTACGTCACTCCTTGCTTCATTACCTCCATCCAATCCTTCCTGTCATCCCGTTCTCCATTCTGCCTCGTACAGCAGGCGAAGATGACTCGTCCGCACCAGTCGTCTTCGTCCAACCCTTGAGAATCCGCCCCCACCCCCGCTCACCATTATCCCATCCCCTCAAAGTGTTCTAGCACATTAAATCGGCTTCATATCCTCTCTTGATAACCTCAAAAGTTTCTGAATGGTGTCCCACCACAAACAAATGAGCTTTTTGAATAATCTTCACTCTTTGTGAACGTCGTTAACGCCCTTGTGACACGGCCGACATTTTTTCCCCACCCTCGTTGACTTAATTCTGAGATATGGAAATATTTATGCAAAATTGAATGCCATAATATAATAAATTTTACCCAATGTTGAGAAATTACTCCAAAAATATCTTTCTGAAAAGTAAACCTGTTGCACTATTTGAAATTCTGTGATATAGATTGCAGCATCAGCTGTTATTACTGTATATAAACAATAAGTATGATTGTTATAATAATAATAATAATAATAATAATATGATTGTGTTATTAATATAGAATGTAAATATGTATATATTATTTATTTATTTATTTATTATTTATATTTTTTGTCGAAAACAGCCTTACCTCTTATGTCTTTGAGAGTCAAAGCATTCTAAGACAAACGAAATGTTTTCTGTACGAGGAGTAACTTCGCAACTCTGTCGAGACCAATTCGATTTTTTAAACTTGAGGCTACAGATATACGATGGCGCCAGTTTACGTCATTGTTTCCTGGAAGAGAGGCGGTTGCCCCACCGTTGTTTACGGCCCGTCGCCTCGCCTACTCCGCGAGGGGAAGAGCGGAGTGGGGCGAGGCGGCACGAGGCGAGGCGGAGTGGAGCGAGGCGGGAAAAGTCGAGACGAGGTGGGAAAAAGCGGAACAAGCCGGGGCGAGGCGGGACGAGAGGGGACGAGGTGGGGCAAGGAGGAAAAGGCGGGGCGGGGAGAGACGAGGCGGGGAGAAGCGGGGGAGGCGGTGCGAGATGGGGCGAGGCGGAGACGGGCGATGCGAGGCGGAGTGGAGTAGAGCGAGGCGGGGAAAGGCGAGACGAGGCGAGCCGTGGTGGGGAGAGGCGCTGTAATGAGGGGAAGGCGAGGCGAGACGAGGCGGGGAGAAGCGGGGGAGGCGGTGCAAGATTAGGCGAGGCCGGGAGGGGCGTGTTGAGGCGAGACGGGGCTAGGCCGGACGAGGTGGGACGGGGTGGGGCGAGGCGGAGGAGATGGGGAGGGGTGGAGCGAGGCGGGGCGAGGCTGTCGGGAGAAGGTGGGAGGAATAGAAGCGGGCTACCCAGACGAGGCGGGGAGTGGGGGACCTGGAGGGCGGAGCGGAGCGACGAGGGGAGCGGAGAGGAAGAGGGTTGGCTTTATTAAGATGGACGCCGCCCGCGTTTCTCTTTGCCCTTTGCCCCAGATTCGCCTCAATTAAGATCTTCAAATGGAACACACCCTCGCAGCACATTTATTTTGAAGACATGTTAATCGAAGTCATAACTCTCGGGCCTAATGTAATCACGTTGTGACGTGGTTCCATCGGTGGTCTCCACTCTGTTTGCCTTCGTGAAAGAGCTTCCTGACTGCTCATCGCAATTCGCCTACGTCGATAAACTTACTCTGAACCGGATACGTCTGAAAATTCAGTCTTGGCGTATAAAAAACGACCTCCGGTTTCACCTTCTCTCTTCTTCTCGAGATACCAGCGTCGGAATGTTTCCTTTGTTCATTACGTTATTACATTCACCTTGAGAGTAATTGGGGTCAAGCTGATTTCAATAACATGGCAAGCTCGTAAATGAACAGTTATAGTAAAATTAAATGTACTGTAAATTTGATTTGAGAAACACCTTTCCTAATAACACCTAACACATGTCAAATATGACATTTTTTGTGATTATTTAAGATAGAGTGTTAATAGTATCAGGCAGTTAAAGCAGTTTAGATTTTTGTTGTTAAAATTTAAATATTAAAAAAAACATATTTCAATTTTTTTTATGTTTTGTCCTTTCTGCTTAATACACAACGTGATCAGTTTGTAAGATCTTTAAGGTTTTCTTTACTTTAAAAACAAAAATCATTCGCTTATGTATGTACAGCAGTTCTTAGAGGCTGAGTATAAATTTTTTCACACACAGCTATTTCAATATAATAGCAAATAGCAAATGAGTTTATTTCAATTATACAACAGTTAATTTCCATTTAATATGGTAAATTACTGTTATTAATCAATAAACTAAATAAATAATAATTAATGAGTATTTATTAATTTAATTATCTGACTAATGACAGTAATTACTGGTAAAGAAATTAAACTGTGAAACGAAAGAATAATCTTCTTGAATATCATATTACCGTTGTAATGATATTTCAAAATAGACATTTTCGAAAATGTTGCGCATCCCACCTTTACAGCTGTCTTGACCTGTCTATCAGCCTGAGATTTTCTAAACATTAGCCCAGCCCGAGACCCATAGCACGAGTATGGATGATTTTAAGTTTTCGAGAGTGAATCCATTGCAAACACACACGGAACCTTCCATTCCACCCCCACCCCCGAAATTCAGTCAAGTGGATGGTCGTTTACCCCCGCGAAGAATACAAACGGCACAGTTTAATTTGTTGCTGTGTGTAATAGCTTGAGTTTGTGTTTGAACTTTCCTAACCGTGGCACGAATGAAGAAGAATCGTGGGCGACAAGCTGAAGTCGGGGGTGGGGTGCATTTGGAGACGGGGACGTCTAGACGTCTGGCGGGTATAAATAGTCCCACACGCGGGGCCACAGCCGGAGGGTCGAGTTACCTCACCCTCGCCCTCATCCTGCATCCCCTACACCACCGCAGCCGCCAGCCTACGCAAACGAGGCCACAAACGCACCTTTGTCTCCGTCCCGTGCTTAGAACTGCGCGCTAATCGGTCAACGATGCATAAATATGTCTCGAGGAACTGAATTTGAGGTGTCACAAACAAAGCTCGCGCATTGAACGTATTTATTTCCAGGATACTTGCCATGAGAGCTTGGGTTATGTTTTATTTGCACTTATAATTATACAATGGTAAGCATTTTTGATATATTTACTTATTTATCGAAACAATTTTTGGTATCTCTAAATGAATTCAGTTAAGGTAAAAATTGTAGCAATATTTCAAGAACACTTAGGTCTGCTTTTAACAAATTTAAAAAAAAACAACATCGAATATAAGTAACTCAGTCGATGCCGCTACAACGGTAATTTGACCTGGGATAATGCATCCCGTGTCAAGAATGAATGTATTCTCATCCAGACGTGGTGGGGAAATGAAAATAACCAGGAACCTCATACATACATCTAAATCATCATTGAGAATTCAATAGTGTCATGTCATAATTGTGAACATAATTGTCCAGTACCCGACAAGTAGAGTACCCTTAGCTAAGCTATCTCTTCTCTAGCTCTGTTGCATTCCCCCGGTGTATCCCTAGCTCTGGTATCCATAAAGAATCCCCGGCATCCATTCCATCCATGATTCATCCCATCCTATTGAGACATCCCTGGTATATTTGTATGTTTAAAGATATCTCACGAAAATATTTAAGAAATCTATTTATTATGTATTCACCAGTGTGGCCCTAACGCTTTCCGAGCCATCGCTGTCCCTGCTCTTCCTAGCCCAGTGTGGCCCTAACGCGTTCCTAGCCACCGCTGTCCCTGCTCCCCTAGTCCAGTGTGGCCCTAACGCGTTGCTAGCCAGCACTGTCCCTACTCTCCCTAACCCAGTGTGGCCCTAACGCGTTCCTAGACATTTCCCCTGCTCTCCCTAGTCCTGTGTGGCCCTAACGCGTTCCTAGCCAACGCTGTCCCTGCTCTTCCTAGCCCAGTGTGGCCCAAACGCGTTCCTAGCAAATGCTGTCCATGCCCCCCTAGCCCAGTGTAGCCCTAACTCATTCCCAGCGAACGCGGTCCCTGCTCCTCCTAGCCCAGTGTGGCCCTAACGCGTTCCTATCCATCGCTGTCTCTGCTCCCCCTAGCCCAGTGTGGCCCTAACACGTGTGGTGCGTGCACAGGGTGCTGGTGGGCGCCCCGCAGGCGCAGTCGGAGTGGCAGCGCAGCGTGCACCGGGGCGGCGCCGTCTACCGCTGTCACGTGGCAAGCAGCCAGTGCGCGCAGGTGCCCTTCGACCAGTCCGACGGTGAGTCTCTACGCGCACGTGCGTGTGTGTCCTTTAAGATCGCTTTTAGCGATTAGTCAATGACATTTTCAATTATTTTAATTGAGAAATTAAATTTCAAATGTTTTTAATTTTGATTCGAAGGTCTTCCAAAACAGTTGCTGTTTACTATTAACCCTAAACTCATCTCTACTGACCTTTTTCTAATATAGACTCTGGGGAAATATTGTAGCAACATTAACTACAGTTATTTAAATGTAGCAACATTATTGCAATTATCAATACATTTTAAATATTGTTATCCTAAAAACAGAGTACAATAATTTCAGTTGTTGGTAATTCTAGTAAATAAAATATTGTAAATTAAAATAATATTTCGAGACCATTAAGTTTAGTTCTCGTTGTCCACGTAGACTCATAATACTCACTAAACATTATAAAAAGATTCAAAGATTTTGCTTAAAAATTAACTCAAAATCGAATTTTCAAAGCCGGTTTTGTAACTAGACACATATAATATAGTCATGAAAGAAAGTAATGATTTTAACCACAGCAAAGTAGCGGTTTTCTTCCATCAATTAACAAAAATTCAGCAACACTGCCTATTCGAGCAAAATCTCAGATAATACTCTAATGCGCCCCCGCGTCCCGCGTTTTGCGGCGACTAATCTCACTGACTTCATAAAAGAATTGAACGCCCACGGATGGTTTCGAACCACCAACCTTTCGGTTAACAGCCGAACGCGCTAGCCCCTTGCGCCACGGAGGCGGTTGTTGGCTCCCGAGTGCCCGCATTTTGCGGAGACTAATCTCACTGACTTCA